TGTTTTTCATTGGCTGCTGGGATGACCAAGTGCTTGACTAGATACTGCTGTAGTGACACTTCAGCTGTTCTCCTGTGAAAAATTGTGTTAAATCAAGGATAACACTTGATTCCCTGTAAATTTCAAGAGAAAATTCTGAAAAATTCATGCTAATTTTTTTTTTAAATTCTTGTAACAGATATTATGTATTCTAAGGAAAGCTTTCTGCTGAGAATTCTTTCCTTGCTGCCTTGTAGTGCCTCTGAATGTAGGTGAAGCCTGCAACTATTGATATTCTATAAAGGTCATGCCTGTTCAATTTGTATTCTGCTGTTAGCCAGGCAAAACTGTTACCCAGTTCTCCTCTCCCTTACAAGTCTCCTGTGCCTCTTACGTCTGTTTTTTTCTGGTGAATTCTCATTTTCCCCAGTGGAGTCTGGCATGTGGGATGTGCCAGCCAGTTCATGGGATGCCAAACATTTTCATTCTCATCGTGTTGTCGTTGCTGTCAAAACACAAAGCTGGTGAAAAAGGAAGAGAAGCTTTTTCAGTGCCTTGGTGCAGCTTTTCTCCCTGACACTTTCCTTTAGTATTTAGGATGATTCCTGCTCGATCCTGGAGCACCAGAGGCCAGCCTGCAGTCCCTGGCACGTGTAAGGTTGTCAGGCTGCTGTTGATTCTCCCAGTTTTGTGGTTATTTCCTGATAGTTTGATTACTTGACCTCACTGAGATAAAAATACAAACATGGCTGAGGGTAAAAGCCATATAAACATTCCCATTTGCTCTTAAAAAACAATTTTTTCAGTCATTTTGGGTTTGGAGTTCAGAATGTTATTTAAATGTTAATCACTTGAAGCTGTGCTTGGGCATATAATTCAATTATGGGACCATCTTAATTATGCAGATGGTGCTTATGAGCAGCTGATACAATTACAGAGCCAATTCAGTGCACATTCATTTCAAGGGCTTAGCTGAAACACGTTATTATTTCAATGTGTGTGGACAAATCCACTTTTTTCAGGAAATGGGTTCATGGAATTGCAATAGTGCTCTGCTCAGCTCGTTGTTCCAATGGTGTGCAGACCACAAGGTTTTTAACCATTCTCCCTCAATCTCTGGTGGTCCAAGGCTTGTGAGGGGTTTCTTCATGTTTTTTACATACCCAGAGGGATGAAAATGGAGACTTGAGTTAATAATCCATCATCCCTCTGGGTAGCAGGCGGGTTTTTATTTCTACTTGAATATTTAACCTCCTTTTGAATGGTGCCCCACATCTGGAAGCCATGTGTAAATCTCATCCAATCACGCTGATAACAAAATAGGAGAATTAGTGGAATTTACTTTCACCATGAATTGCTGCAAAAATAAATACTGGGTAATTCCTGCTAAAATAGAACTCCACTTTTAATGTTGTTCCTTCTCTCAGTGTATGTTTTATGGCCTCAGTGTATGTTTTATGGCCTGGTTCAGTGTTCAAGGAAGATTCTGCTTCCTGGAATATGCTTTTCTCATCTGCCTTTGTGTTAGTTTGAAAAACCTCTTAAAACCACTTTTACCTCCATGTGAGGCCTGCCTTGTATACTTAATTAAAAATTAGATGCCATTAGTGGAGCTGGGATAATGAAGAAAGATTAAATAAAGGACTAAGATTTATAGGGGGGAATATTCATAGCAGATATTTTAAAATAACTGGGAATTTTGAAAGGAATATGAACCTGAATGATTCTGGCCAAAAGTCATTATCTAACTCACAGTAAGTAGGAGGGAAAAATTTTTAGGGATGATGTATTCTGCAACCTCAGTTTCTTTTCTCACTGATTCTGAGCAGAAATAAGTCACTGATGTATCTCACCACCCACCTCCTATGGCCACACCTGTATTCCTGCTGAGCAGACTGTCTGTGATACACAGAATAGGTTTGGTCACCTCAGAAAAGCTGTTTAGGACCTGAATTCCCACTTTTAAACAGTCTGCACGTGCACCTTTCTGTTCCAAATTACTCTGGTGCTTGAAGAAGAGCGTGTGCCTCTGTATTTGTGGCTGTGCAGAGGATCATTGCTCTCATTTTCAGTGTTTGGCTCTAAATAAACATCACAGATTATATCACCACGAACATAGTCATCAAAAATTCATGCCAGGAACTTCGTCACTTTGTAAATTCTATTTTCCAGCATGGGGTTTATTCATGTTTTGTTGAAACTAATGGGAGAGTGAATCTGGATTTAGTGTATTCACTGCAGTTCAGGTCAGTTTTGCTCAGAGGGATTTTTTCAGAGGGGTGGATCAGTAATGTAGACTTTGTGCCTGATCTTTGCAGAGGATTGAGCAGCATCTGCCCAGAGCAGCTCTGCTGTGCACTTCTGAGGCACCCCAAGAAGACATCCTGGTTACCCACATGTGGAAATACAATTGTAGTTCATCTTCTTGCTGAGATTGCTTCCATTTTTGCCTTATACCTTGTTACAAGTACTTCTTGCAGCATAAACCATAACTGTAATAATGGGGAAAAAAATTAGCACCTAGCAAAATAAATGGAAGTGCATACTTGTTTTCAGTTTTGTTCCTGGGTCGTTTCCCTCCTACTTACTGTGAGTTAGATGATGACTTTTGTCATGGGACAGGAACAGCCAAGCCAAGCTGGTGTGCATTCCCTAAAATTGAGATGGCGCCAGTGCAAAAGGACAGGGGATAGAAACCAAAGGATTTTAATGCCTATGAGCATGTCCAGGGATACTGTTCAAAATTCAGTACCTGGTTCTGCCTCACACTGCCTTGCTAAGCCATTCTTTATGGATAAGATTCTCTGTGAGCTGGAAAGAGAAATGCATGATGTGTGAGATCTGGGAGGAGCAGGTTGCTCTGCTCTGGTTTACAAAGGGCTGTCAGAAGCAGCAGCAGCAGGAGATGGCATTTGCTGCTGGACTGAGGAGGAGGAGCTGTTCCTGTGGCCCAATGGGAAAATTACCCTCTTACTTTTGGGGGAGCCAGCAGGAGTGTGGATTAGGTGTCATGGAAATACAGATTCCAGAGGGGTCATACTAGTGCTGCTTATGATTTCATAAAATTGTTTTAGCTATTAGTTCATGCAAAAATGTAACCTCATTTATCCATCGTTGCCTTCTATGGGATTTTGTCTTAACTAATGTCAAACTTCATTTTCCACAACATGTAAAGGAGGAAATTGGGGTAAATTGATACTGACTTTCCTGTAGGCTGGGGAGGGGAGTTTTCCTTTGGAGCCCTCTCTTTCCAAAGCATTCCTGCTCTCCTGGAGCTCCCCATGCTGCCTGTGTATCACAAACACTGTCACTTTGGGCTGCAGAAATGGCTCTGCCAAAACAACAGTGGGAGCAGAGAACTGCAATGAGCTTGTAATGCTCCAAGGGTTTCAGGAGTGTAAAGGCAGAGGAAGCATCTTCTGAATTACTTTTTGGAGAAAAGAACAGCATCACATCCAGCTAGCAAGCTTGTATTTCTTCCTGAGTGGCTGCCCTCTTGTCTTTAGTGGTATCTGTGCAGTTTGTTGAGAATGGAAATTCCCTGTGCTGCTGTTAGAGGTGTTCTTAAAATGGTGCATTTGCTTGCTGAGGAATAGAGGATATATTTTCCTTTTTGCCTATTTGTCTTCTCTTTTTACATTAGTGTGCTGCCTCACAGAGAGCCACATTGATGCAACATTTACTCCTTTAAATTCATTGACGAAGGAAGAATTTTGAACTCGGAGAACTGAGTTAACAACATATACTGTTTGCAGTTTACCATTTTTCTCAGTAGTTCTTGGTAGTAGTCAAAAGATGTGGATTTTGGCTTTGCTAAGTAAATAGGTAATTTCCTGCTTATTTCCCTTCTAAGTGCAGGATACCACCTATGCAGATGACAGTGACAAATTAAGTGTTCTTGTGTTTGATTGTCTCAGCAGGAGATGCAGCTTGTTGTTGGGTTTCTATATACTTATGGCATGGGGCAGAACTCTGCGTGGATGAGCTAAGAAAACTTGCACAAGTACTGTCCAAGATTTTCTTGCTGAACTGATTAATCCCACCACCTGGTTGCTCTGTAGTAAAATATATGTTCTTTTTAAAAAAATATATATGAATAAAAATAGTAAAATTTATTGGTTTATATGTAAAATATATGGTTTAGGGTTTTTTTAATAGTATTTAAATTGCCTTTGTGCTGCTTTTCCTCAACTGCACAAGACTCAGGTGTGACTGGAATTCATAGAATTGTGGGACAGTAGAGGCTGGAGGGGACCTTGAGTGATCACTTGGCAATAGTCTGGGGAGCCCTTGCTTAAAGCAGAGCCACCTTATCAGGTCAGAGCAGGTTGCTCAGGGTTTATTTGGTGTCACTTTGAAAACCTCCAAGGACAGGGACTGAGGGCACAGCTTCTATGGCAGCCTGGGCCCCTGCCTGGCTGTCCTTGAATGTGAACTGAGTTTTCCTTTTTAAATTTTAGCCCAGACCTTATGCTTCCCTCTTTCTGTCTCTCAGGAGAAACATCTTTTTAAATCTTCCTTTATCAAATTAACCCTACACTTCTTATCAAAAGATTTCAAACTCCCAGAATTTCAGTTAGACTTAAGACAGCTGCTGGTAGAGAAAATTGAAAAATAAGGGTTCTTCTCATTGTGGGCTGTGTGTGCATGGAATAGCAAGGTGGGGAGTAATTTTTATTCCTGTATTTGTTAAGCTTATGGCTTCCTTAAATATTTGTGTAGAATTTTCAGTAAATTGGGACAAGGCTAGGCATATAACCCCCCACATCCCCCCAGCTTTTAAGTATTTTAAGATGGCTAGCACTGCTATATGTCTGTATATTCCCCAGCTATGAGAGCACTCTTGTCCACTGTGAGTTTTTCACCTTTGAAATGTAACAGGCAAATGAAGCTTTTACATGTGGTTTAGCTTTGATGGCTAGGTTAATTATTTTTTTTTTTAGATTTAACCCCGAAGTCCAGTCTATCTTTATTCGATTATTACAAGATTAATGAATTCTAAACCTTTTCTCTGTTTCCAGGCTTCTCAATGCCAACAAGATCAACTGCCTGAGGGTGAACACGTTCCAAGGTCTGCATAATCTCAAACTGTTATCTCTTTATGACAACAAACTGCAGACCATCAGCAAGGGGCTCTTTGCACCTCTGCGATCGATCCAGACTCTGTGAGTATGCAGCCAGAGCACAAATGACAGCTCTCTCCTTCCCCACCAAAATGCTGCCTGTCTTTTCATCTGACATTTAGACAATTTGGAAGAGGCATCCATGTAGCAGCCCCTCCTTTCCTCACTGAGATACAAGGAGCAAGAAGAAGAAGTGTTGCATCAGTTCAGCGAGGGCAGGATCGACACAGCCTGCCCTTAGTGACAGAAATGTCAGGGCTCTGTGAAGCTCAGGCTGTTTGTTGGGGAGATAATGTGTGCATTTGACTCTGGATGAGATATGAACAGCACTTTCTATTAGGATCATAGCCTAGCAGTTTTTAATGAGCCAATGATTTGGCATCTCTGCTGCCTGGGTCTGAGTCCTGCTGTGCAGTTCGTGACTTCTGTAACCACATTTCAGCTGACATCCCACTTAAGGGGAATGATATGTTGTATTATTTGATCCATTAGGAAAATCCACTAAACAGTTTTGAATTTGGAGGCATTAGATTAGGCACCAGAAGCGAAAATACAGATATGATTCAATATTTTGTAGAAGAAGGTCTCATCCTAAAGCTATGAGTAATAAGATAATAAGGTAAATAGTACTCCTTCAGAGCTGGAGTTGGCAGCCTGATATTCCAGTATTAAAATATGTATGGGTGTGTGTGTGTATATATATATATATACATACTGCAGGATCTGTGCACACACACCCTATAGTATTGCAATTTTTGTATTCAAATGCACATATATATATTTTAATACTGGGAATGCATTGGCTGAATTAGTTGTAGAAATGTTTTAAATTATATACAAATGAACTGACAGCAATGATTTCTTGCAGCAGAGTTTCTGTCATGTTCTCAGGCAGCCACAAACATAACCTGAATTTCCAACAGATATTTGGCCAGTATGTATTGCTGCAAACCATTATTGGAATAGTCATGTACAGCACCCCCAGTTCTGCCCCAGCAGCTCCACCATGGTTTCTGCTGCTGCAGCTTGCTCTGATGTACACACATGAGCTGGGGCCACAGAGAGGGTTCTTTCACAGAGGGGTGTAAGGTTTGTCAGGTTAATCAACAGGCTTTTGTAATGTTTATAGCCCTAAGGTGTGAACATGTCCTGTTGGTTTCCATAGGGTTTTTCTGATGGCCTTGCTTGGAATGGACTTGTTGCTTCACACCAAGAGACTTTGTCACAAAGTTTTGATTAATTCTCCCATTTTTAATACTCGAAGTGATTGTCATCTTATGTGTTTTTAGAGCAGCAAAACCAGCCCCAAAGTCTGTCTCTGTGTGGTTCTTTGGACCTTTCACAGCAGGAATAGCTCTACTGCAGGAGGAATCTTGGGTTTCTTCAGGCCCTTTCTGCTCTGTGTGCTCTCCCTTCCCAGTCCTGAACAGCCACTGCCCTGTTGCATTTTACACCTATTTTGTTCAGTGGCAGTTCATAAATATAACTGCAAACAGAAAAGAAGTTTCTACAAGTGGAAAGCAGCAACAGAGGGAGAGAGTTCTTGTCAGGCTATAACTTTATACCTCTGTCCAGACCAAATTGAAACATCTGTCTTTTCTTAACCTGTCTTTGCAGTTATTGGAGAGCTGAGTCCTGCTCCCTTGGAGGTCAGAGGGACTGATGCAAGTTAGCTGAACTGAGATTAGAGCCTGGCTCTGGGAAAGACCTGGCAGACTCTTCTGATGCAGTGCTCAGCTTTGTCAAGCAAAATGAATCAGAGCAGCAGCAGAAAAACACTTTCTCTCTGAGATGCTCCAGCAGATTTCTGTTACCAAAGTCTAAATGCCCAGTTAAAATCAGTGCTATGATACCCATTTCCAATTTCATAGAATACAAGTTGAGCAAATTTTGGTGAAGGATAGGGTGCAATTGTACCTTACCTAAACATTTCAGTCTTTAAATTAAAACCTTTTGCTTCAGGAAAAAATACATATAGAGGAAGTACTGTTAGAAATTATGAGCATGTGCAAATATTAATTTCACTCTTGTGAAAAGATTCTGGTCCACTTCTGCCTTTGCCCAAAGATCCAAGGTGCTGCTTTACTAATTCGTATTTTTGAGCTTGCTGATCAAATATCTTTTAAACCAGGATACAAAATGCCTTTGCCCAAAGATCCAAGGTGCTTTACTAATTCATATTTTTGAGCTTGCTGATCAAAATCAAATATCTTTTAAACCAGTATACAAAATGATCTTCAGGTAAGGTGCATTTATTTCAAGAGGCAGCACTTGTCAAGCTCTCAGGAGAAACCATGGGACTTGGGAGACAGCAGCAGGTCTGTGTCCCTTAAAGGGGGCTTTGCTGTCTTAATTTTTGTTTCTTCTGCGGAGGACTTGCTGCAGATGGGAGCACTCACAGAATTCTCCCATTTGGGAGACAGGTCTGTGTCTTTTAAAGGGAGCTTTACTGTCTTAATTTTTGTTTCTTCTGTGGAGGACTTGTCGCAGATATGAGCGCTCACAGAATTCTCCCATTTGGGAGACAGCGGTAGGTCTGTGTCCCTTAAAGGGGGCTTTGCTGTCTTAATTTTTGTTTCCTCTGCAAGGAGGACTAGCTGAAGATGTGAGAGCTCACAGAATTCTTCCAATTGGTAGACAGGTCTGTGTCCTTTAAAGGGGGCTTTGCTGTCTTAATTTTTGTTTCCTCTGTGTGAGGACTTGCTGAAGGTGTGAGGGCTCATGGAATTCTCCCACTTGAGAGACAGGTCTGTGTCCCTTAAAGGGAACTTTGCTGTCTTAATTTTTGTTTCTTCTGTGGAGACCTTGCTGCGGATGAATTCTCCCATTCATGTGTGCCTCCATGCAGCTTCTGCTGGGCCTGGGGTGGTTTTTTTTTTCCAGGAGCCAATTCAATTACCCCACTCTTCAGCTTCAGTGAAAAAAAAAAAAACAAAAAAAACCCAATGCAGGAGCAGGGTGTCACAGGTCAGTGGTGATTAAACATGCCATCCTTCTCGCAGCCATTTAGCTCAGAACCCATTTGTGTGCGACTGCCATCTGAAGTGGCTGGCTGATTACCTGCAGGACAATCCCATCGAGACGAGCGGCGCGCGCTGCAGCAATCCCCGTCGCCTTGCCAACAAACGCATCAGCCAGATCAAGAGCAAGAAGTTCCGCTGCTCAGGTAATAATTCATTTATCCGGGCTCTGCTGCGCTCCCCGCGCGGGGAGGAGCGGGCCCAGAGAGCCCGCTAATCCAATCTGCCCCACAGTGTTTGCTGTAATGGATAGCAGGGAGCAGCTTTGGAAATTGAATTTGGGCAAATTCGGTTAGTTCGACAGAAAGGCAATTACCTTATGGATTAAAACAAAAAGAAAAAAAAAAAAAAAGGGAAAGGAAAAAAAAAAAAGGAGTGTATAGCTGTCTTCTCTTAAAAACAAAGAAAAAAAGATAAAAGCTCGTGACGTATATTTGTAAAAAAAATGCTAAATTATGAAATATTTAAGCAAAACAATGAAAATATATATGAATTCATGTGGGAAACGTTATATTTTGACAGGATTGTCAATTGTATTCAAGCAGAGCTCTTGCTCTTACTGACCTAATGAGAGCTGAGCTCAAGTTTAGTTCTCGCACCTAAAACGCTGAGAACAGTACGAGAACAGTATGAGAGGTTTTTATACAAGTGTCAGTGAGCATTTCTGATCTGGGATGGGCGTGAATCTGGGGTGAGGGAATGGCATCAATGCACGTGCTTTCATACATTCATTTTTCTTACATCCATAAATAACACTCACTAACTACAGTAAAATTGCCATCAAAGTTGGTAAGATTTTTGGCTTCAGCAAGTTTGAATCAAAAGGTGCATAATAATTTAGGAAAAGTTTTGTGTTGTGAATGAAACAGAAAAATGTTTCCACCTGAAATTAACCTCCAAAGTAACATCAACAAGCTTTTTCTTAATCCTGTCTGTTCTTTATTTATGGTTCAGCTGTCAGTAAAAGGATATTTCTTGCCTTACACAGCTCAACTAGCAATGACTGCTTCTTCATGTGTTTTTCCTACTGGTTATATTGGTTATATCTATTTTGGATTACTGCATTTTTGTGTACTGTAAAGACAAGCAGGTTTCAGTAAGCAAATCTATTAGTGTGTACTGAGGAGAAAAATGACTGTTATTGATGGAGTACCTTGCGGTGTTTTCTATGAAAATTACTATGATTTTTCTTTTTTTTCTTCTGAAAAGCAACATGATTAATTGTGTTCCTGGTGGTAAAAGATGAATGGCTCTAGATGGGGATGCAGCATGAAGCTGAGTGGCAGCAGCCCAAAACAAGCCGTTGTGCTTTGTGCATCACTGTGAGCAACATGCCGAGCTAAACCTTCCCTTTATGGGGGAAAGAAAATAAAGATAACTTCATTTGCAGTCAGCTTCTCTTGGGAAGGCTTGTTAAGGTCTTCAATCCCTTGTGATTCAAGCCACAACATTTATAATCAGGCCTGAAATTGTGACATATTTTATCTAGGTTTTTAGATTGTGTCCATCATAGTAACAATGTAATTAGCCAGTAATATTCATATTTAAATAAACTGGAAATGAAAATGCATAAATATAACTTAGACCGGAAAGCAGCCTGCAGAAACAGATCTGTATAAACCTGTACCCAATTTGCCATTGTTATTTTCTTCTGCTTTTATTAATGGGCTAGAGGAATTAATGTTATGTGTGTGCATGCATGCTTTGAACAAAGGTACAGGAGATTGGAGAAGTCAAACACCAGCTGACACCATTTAGGAGAGGTCATAGCTAAGAAGTGCAGAACTCAGTGCCTGGTGATGCTGAGAATAATATTTTGTGTGAGTTCTTATGGTGGGGGTCCTTTCCTTGAGGCATTAGGCTGTTTTTCCCTGGGTCTCCAGCTCTACATCTATATCAAAACCACATGGAAGAAGCATAAACCTGACTTATGAAGGAGGAGAGCAGGGATTGAGCAGCTTCAGAACAAAGATTTCAGCTGGATGAAAACTAATGCTGTTCAAAAGCTCAGTAGAGAAGAGATCCTTGCCTGTAGAGTTTCCAGATGGTGATGAGATGCATTGAACTCGAGTTGCTGTCTGCTCACATGAGACAGGGAACATCTAATGGTTTAGAAAATCTTAGCTTGTAAATCAATCCAGGGAACAGACATCCTTGGCACCTGCTCTGCTCAACTTGTCCCTTTGAATCATGGCTGCTTCAGGCTTGGCATTTAGCAGGAATTTTCCATGTTTTCATTTTGAGGAATGTGTTTCATCCCAAGATCTAATCCAGCACATCTCTCTGCAGAAATGTCCATGAGGTATGAATCTTCTTTTAGAGCATTGGGCAGTGCTTTGTGTCATCCAGGGATGACACAATCCCACTGGGAGGCAAAGGTTAGTAACTTGTCCATGTCCTCACTGCCTTTGGGATTATCTGTTCTAGTTTTTACATCTCCTGCTCAGTGTATGAGAAAACAGTTTTTCATTTTTAATTCTTTTGTAAATGTGCATCTCTTTCTCAAATGGTTATTTTTTAGGATCGTGGTATTTTCATGTAGTTTGTGTAATATATCTAGTACATGTCAGAAAGTTGGTTTTTGAGGGGAAAATACAGGGGTATGTGAGGGGTTGTTTAAGGAAGAAATTTGAGGAATTTTATCCTCACACAGTCTTTGACCTTTGAGAAGAGATGAGGATGCCCAGAAAGTTTGGGCTCTGTGGGAGCAGAGGTACTCAGGCAGTGTCAGGATCACACCCAGGGGTAGTTAAGCCTATGAAAGCTTATAGTATATATATAATACAATATTGGACATCACAGAAAGGACAGTTTTAAAGTCATGAAATTCTGAGGTTGTCCTGAAGTGGTCTGTGTGTCTTCCACGTTCCTTTTGACGAGGGCACGTAGTGACAGGAAAGGGGGAATGGCTTTAAACTGTAAGATGGTTGATTTGGATTAGATATTGGGGAGAAATTCTTCCCTGTGAGGGTGGGCAGGCCCTGGCACAGGGTGCCCAGAGCAGCTGTGGCTGCCCCTGGATCCCTGGCAGTGTCCCAGGCCAGGTTGAACAGGGCTTGGAGCACCCTGGCATAGTGGAAGGTGTCCCTGCCCATGGCAGGGGGTGGGACTGGATGATCTTTAAGGTCCCTTCCAACCCAAATCATTCCATGATTCTGTGATCATAAAAGGGACAGTCAGAAAGGACCTTTTATGAGAAAAAAAAAAAGTGTCTGTTCAGTAAATTAAGGGAAGAAAGGGAAGTGCTTTTTCTCTAAGAACAGAAGAGCGGAGTGGTTAGCAGGAACAGGGGAGAAAAGCTGAGTTGTTTGAAGTTTCATCGGTCTGAAGTGGCAGAGGAGCATCAAGAAGGAAATGTCAAGAGGACACAGAAGCAGATGGGCTAGGTAGAACTGTATTTGATAATTAAATGAAACTGGGAAGACAGATCTACAAAACTCCTTCTGCACACTCTTTCCTTCAGTTTTCATCTCAGGTCCCCACCATCCTGTTCAATAACATCCAGCCTGAAGTACTCACCTTCTTTTCTCAGTTGACCAGTTCTTTCAATTGAGGCACTTTTCCCAGATGCCATTTCCCCACAGAACCCAATGACTCGAGCTTTTACTGATGACAATGGAGCAACATCTGCAAAGGTTATGAGTGGCCATAGGAAGGAGCTTCTGTGCAACAGGTAGATAATGTACATAATTCTTTTTAAAGGGAGAATTGGAAGCATTATAGCATGAAATGAAGGAACAGCAGGGAACAGGACATATTTTTGCCCTAGGCTGTGAGACAGGCAAAGCTTTTGAATATGCCATCAAATATGTTTAAATTTCAGATTGCAATAGATACTGTTTTCTGTGATTTTTAGCTTTCCATTTGATGCAGCGCACCACAATAATAGCAAATCTCCCCCTTGCCCAACTGTCTCCCCACAGCTGTACAATCTGAGACTGAAAAATCTGAGATGTTTTCTTGAAAGAGAAATCATAAGTACAGGCTGTGTCTAATTCTCTCTCTCTTCTGTTTAGAAAAGGGAAATACTGTCATTTTTAGTAGCATTAGTGAAATTCTGATGATCATTTTCTTTTTGGCTACATCTGCCCACTCTGACCACCTAAGGATCCAATGGTGCTTGGCAGCCTGAGGTCACTGGAGGCTCCTATTCTTAATATGAAAAAGGGTGGAAAAGATCAACACAAATATCCTGCCCAGAAGCATTTGATTCAGTTCACTACAGAGCAGTTTTGTTTTCTGGGCTTTAGGAGTAAGGGAAATGAATCCATGAGCAGATTGTGTTGTCTCTGTGGTAGCTTATTGTCACTTCGAGACTTGGCAGGTTCCTTGATTGCTGTGTGACACTGTGTATGAAATAGCTTTTGGAAAGAATTGCCTTTGCATTCAGCTGTATATCTATTTCTCCCTGTGATATGTTTGCATTTTTCAGTATATTGTGCATTTCAAAAGCGATGAAAGTTCCACCTGCTGTACTGACACAAACTATCTCTGATAATGATCAAAGCAATGTGTTTCTACAAACATCACATCACAAAAGCTCTTTATCTTCTAATTCTTAGAAATAAGACTTTTATCAAGAAGATTGCTATTGGAAATACTCTGAAGTGAGCCTGTCTTATTGCTTCCTCCTGCATACATTGTGTCTAACTGCCTTTAATTAGTTCCTTCAGTTCCAGACAGTGCCATACAATCAAAAGGACAGGGGAGAGCAGGAGGAGGAAAATGAACCATCTGCCAGCATTATTCTCTCCTTTTTGGACACTACCTCTTGTTAACCCAACCCAAAGCAAAGGCAGCCTTTTTGGGTACATTTGGGTCCGAAAATGGCATATTTAGGGCTAGTTTCATTTCTCTCATGTTATTCACAATTATTACATGGTAATGTAGCTGCTTTTTGTTCACTCATCATTTTCAAGGCATTTGATGAAACCTCTTCTCACTAATTGCAGCTTTTCTCCTAATTCTTTATGCTCTTTATGTTCTTTTCCAGTCTCTGTCTTCATACACACTCACCTTCCTTGGGTTACCTGTCTGCTTTGGACCAGACTTGCTGTTTCTTGTAATCACCTCAAATTTCCTCCTCTCTTCTCTGCATTGTTGTACATTTAGAAGCACAGAACTGCCCTGGATGGAGTCAGGGGAG